CAGACGGTGCCCCGTCCGCTGTCATGGTCGTGAGATCCGACAATGGAGGAGAATTTTTTGAGGGAGAGTTCGGCAAGGTGTGCCGGAAGTACTGCATCAAACAGGAGCTCACGCCCGCACACAGCCCAGAATACAACGGTGTAGCTGAGAGAGCACTGGGTCTGATCAAGGATGCAGCACTAGCCACCCGTATCCAAGCGCCAACTCTTTTCCCCGGAGCACCGAACTACCCCTCCCTTTGGGCNACACAAGTCCGAGCAGAAAGTCCAAACGTGTTTTTATCTCGGCCCGGTAATCAACACCAACCGTGATTGCGTGCGCATCTTGAACGAAAAACGCCAAGCGATTACAACTCGCAACTTCACCTGGCAATCCGTACCCACCGCCCCCGCCGCCCTGCCCCAGTCGCTGCCTCCCATCGCCGAGGAGGAAGAAGAATTCGCGACTGAGGAGGACGAGGTTGGGGAGGGCGCGTCGAACCAAGGTGGAGGGAGGGCGGAGAGAGAACCTGTGGATGGAGGACCAGGTTTCAACCTTGGCACGACGGCAGCCCCAGGGCCCGCGGGGCCNTCTCGTAGCGCCGGCGGCGCCGCCGGCCGCGCCCAAGGAGTCGGGCGCGGGCGACGCTGGCGATGGCGCCCCCTCGAGCAGGGAGAGCGCGAGCGTCGCCCCATCTACCACGTCGACCGGCACGGCCGATGTGGGCGGCGGCGAGGACGACCGCCGCAGCAGCGGTAGCGGCGGCAGCGGCAGCGACAGCAGCAGCGGCGGCAGCAGCGGCGATGACGGCGGTAGCGACAGCAGTAGTGGCAGCGATAGCGAGACGGATCTCCCGGCGCTCCGTGGGCCAGAGGCCCGGCGGCTCGCCNCGAGGGAGGGCGCGAGCGTCGCCGCATCCACCACATCGACTGGCACGGCCGATGCGGGCGGCGGCGAGGACGACCGCCGCAGCAGCGGTAGNTAGTCGCCCCCGTTACCGACAAGTGCCGAAGCCCTGCTCGCCTCGGCGGCGAGCCTGCCCGTCAGNCAGAGGCAAGGGCGGTGCGAGAGTTGCTGTTCGAGCGCGCGGAGTAGGCCCACGCTGCGCGCCAAGAGGCGGAGGACTTCCTGCTGGGTGCGGTGGACCTCATGCTCAA